CGTTATCGGTTTCCAAGACTCGATCGCGATGAATGCAGGGATAAAACACTATTGATTTGCACACCTTTATCAGTAACAAGTAACGTTCCTCGATTAATTATTAATTTTCTATAACTTGTAGTAAGAAACGAATTGCGTGTTGAGGCGACGGCTCTTTATCAACGTATACATAAATATTTCACGAGACTAACTCATCTACAATATGAATGTAAACCGTGGTACTTTGTCGCGGTTACATCTCGTTTACGCACCGCGCTTTTAATTATCTGTCGATTTCGTGTAATTTGTTCCATTTTCGGGGGGAAAAAAAAGAGAAATTTGTACGACTTCGCTCTGTCGTTCTTCGCAACTCGAACGGGCGGGAAGTAAAGAAAGTTGCTTATTGCACGTCGTTACATTATTTCTTTGTTGCAGATTATGCTTCCGATGCTCGCGTTGCGTTTTATATCGCCAATTCGAAAGTGGTTTATCCATTATCCTATTCTTCCGAATCAAAAATGCAAGTTGTTAATTTGAGTAATTTGTATGATAGGAAGACTTGGAAACCCATGACGCAAAAGTTAATAATATTTCGTGTGTTCGCGGTATTTCACATCGCGTACGGGAGTGCCGGAAATTTCGCGTGATCGATGATTTTCGCGAGTGAGTGTTGTGTAAGTGCAACAAGGAAATCTGAGAGGAGGAGGAGGCCGAGGAGGCATCGGGCAACGGCGGAGAAATCGTAAGGTAAGTGTCTTACACTTTTATGTTATCTAATTGTTACTTGTGCAAAATGAAGCATCTGTTCTGTGTTTTTATTTTATTTATGCAAATGATTCGAACGAGGAGTCGAATAAGTGTTAGAGACAAAACCAATGTATAAAATTTTGTGATTTTATATTTAAAAGGAAGACTTTCTCAGTATTTTATATAATTATCTTAATAAATACCTATTTTTAAAAATATAAAATATCAAGCATATTTAGTACAATAATTTCGATTTGACACAATTAGTCTATACTAATCATGTACATATTTGTATTTTTACAGTTTAACATACATGATGTATACAACTCTGCGGTTGCGAATCGTATCAGTGAGTGATAAATTACTTTTTATTTTAAATTGACGTTGCGCATACAATTACTTCTTTGCATGTATAGAAATTCTGAAAAATATACAATGCTCAACTACAAACTGCGCGCGCGAGGCGCGCGTTTGGTCATCTCTAGTTAGACAAAGACAAACATGTAATTCAAGTATTAGTTAGCTTGTCAATAGATTGAACCGACCCTAAACGTTTCGGTTTTAATATTATCAATTTTTACAAATAAAGTGTTAGACTTTTTAAACACAATTTTCTTCGAGGTTTCAGTCAATTTGTTTAGTTTGTATCACACAATACGCGTTTTTATTAGTCGCCGGACTTTCCTACAAAAAATCTAATCGTGTACAATTCCGGAGCACTCGGTGCCGCGTTCTCGCTTAGATTCCGGTC